CCCTTTTCGACATCTCCACACCAGGGAATGATCATTAAGGTAGAAGACAGTGGCTTCCACAGCTTAAGTCCGGGCCTACATGCACAGCTCTTGCACAGTCCATTAGCTGGACGAGGTTCACACCTTTGATTCCTAGAGGAACCTAGTGCAGAGCGTTCTGTGCATGTAGACATGACGATGCTCAAGTCACTATCTGCAGGACCACTGTCTGGCAGTAAGAGGTTTCCCCTGGTGTGGAGATTCGTGCCCGACTATGACGATCATGTCTACATGCACAGAACGCTCTGCACTAGGCTCCTCTAGGAACCAAAGGTGACCCAAAATCCAAAAATGAAGCCTCTTAAAAGAAATGGAAAAGAATGCAGGGATGAGCCGCATGTGAACCCGCAGTAGGAAAAGGGATTATTGGGCAAGGCATGCAGATCATATGTGGCAGGAAGAGAATGTCACTAGTACAAGAGTGGGGCATGCAGGTGCGTGGATGAAGGTATGTGAAAGGCCCAGGGAAGAAGTCGGGAAGAAGGGGAGAGCCCGAATATAGCAAATGATGTGTTCCCAACATGCAACCCTGAGTCATTTCATGATGGCGTAGGCGTAGGGCATTATTCAAGCGGAATCGAATATCACGAAGAGGCTGAAATCATTCATTCTAGTCATCCATTTGTTAGGTTTCTTCCTTGTTCAGGTATTGGAATATTCACTCAAGTGATCAATATGGGTGGCAAACACATTCCCTTGCAAGGGAAATTCTACTGCAGCTATGGATTTAATCATTTGTGCTTGAGAAAGCGAGGCAAAATTAGGAAAAGGCGATTCATTGTTGGCTAACTCCAATTTTGATTACATTTAATACACTTGTGGAGATTAGAAAATTTCAAATCGTTGATCCAATTTCTCAGCAAAAACTAACGGATCGATGAATATTCGATCAATAAACAGTTTAATTAATTAAACCGTTCACAATTAATTGAATATTGATCTACTAAATCTTCCAAGATTAATCGATCGACAGTATGATAAGAAAATCTTCAATGCTGCGATTAACTCACGGGCACTGGAGTGGAGCTCGTAGTAGATGATGGCATCAGGCCAGAGTCCGTAGATGTCATCCGGCAAGATAGCCGTCTTCCCCTGTCGCATTCCGATGCATAATCAGCGATGGAAGTGACTCAATCGGGTGGATTTGAGTGGACTCACGTTGATGGTGGTCCGTATGTACCCGCCAGCAATGTCGCCATCGAGCATGCCTTCGTTGTACATGAGTTGGTCTGGGTCCGGTCTGCGTGGCAGTGCTCCACAGCTCACCGCCAGAACCAGGACGGACAGACTCACGAATGGCAACATCTTCGTTCCTCCTCCACTTCCGAATCACATTGGGATTCGGTGTCCTCGTCGGATCTCTTTTATAGTGTTCATCCCAAGTGAGATGGTTCTCACGGATATTGCGCACAGCACTATGTGTCTGCTTGTATGCTGTTCCTCACGGTGTATCAATTTTTCCTCTCTTTTTGAGCTAAAAGAACTCAAGCCTTGAGACAGTAAGATTACGTAACATATTTTTGTCTGTGCTTTACAAAGTTCGGGTAGGGACGGCAAGAGGCAATTTTGCTCTTTTTGACGTCCAGTGGCAAGGTCGAGCGTTCATATATCCAGATTTAATTGATTTTCATTTCTTTTTAAAATATTGTAAAGAATAAATGATACTCCGTATCATCTTCCCTCTGAGTCCGCGGTTGTGCCACAAGCCTATGCTTATTGTCTTGACTTCTGTACTGCTGAGAACTCCTTTTAAGCTGTCGCATTCATTGGAATTTTCATATATTAGAAATATATGCAATACTTCAGGAGTGAATGATCTATCAAATCAGTTAAATAGGCTTTTTTTTTTTCTTTAAAATGGATTCTTGCATTCATTTTAAGCCGCTGAGGAACGTTTAGTTCCTTCACCTAAAAAGTCTACCAACAGTCAAACGGAGAATTCTTCCACTACAATCCGATTTCAATAGCAGCCAATGTGTCAAAATAATCCCTCAAAACGGTCACCTACAAGGTTTTTATTAATTGGCAGGAAAACTCCCGAGAAAGCAAGGGAAGTTTTGAGGTCATGAGATGAGTCATAACATAGAAGACTTGCTGAATGCCAGAGGCATGGGATGATAGGGCGGTGCCATAGAAGGCGGCGCCATAAAAGGCGGTTACTTTTTCTCTTTCCCTCAAGCCGCTTCACAGCAGGGGCTTTGTCGAGAGGCTGATTGCGAGGCAGTGCCGAGGAGAAATCTGTGGAGGCTATTTCAACAGGTTTTTTGTGTGCTTGAATTGATATTGGGTAGTTAGGATGCTTACCCTATGTCTATTTGATGCATGCATCAACTTGATACTGAAGTTGAGACATTCCAATGTATGGATGGATGGAAATCGATTGTTCGAATGTTGAGAGACAAAACACTTGCCGCCGACTTTTTTTTCACTCTCATATAGGGCTTCCAGCTTCTTTTCCATGAAATCAAGTCACTCAGCGACGGCAGACGAAACGGCGGGATCCGGCGCTACGCCTGCTTCCTAGGCAATAACCCATTTTCTTAATAGAAGGTTCAAGGGCAACCCTCCTCTCTGAAACGCCCAGCAACGGAAAAGACGCGCTCTGAATGGACACAGAAACTTCTTGCCGACCTTGGCTGTAACGAGGAGCCTCGTTCGGTTCCTGCAGGTTACGTAAACTACGTTGATACCGGTGGCTGCCAACCAACGATGCATATGCAAATAACAGGAATGTCTCCTTTACTTGTAAGGTACCCAAGTAGCCATGGGTGATCCAAAAGTCGTCCATGGACAGTCCAATTGTCCAGAGATGTTCATTTCAATGTCCAGAGGTGGGCGTCCTTTGGATGTACATAGGATGCCATCGCCATGGATCAATTTCTTCTCATGCATTCTGAGCTTTATTCGAGCAGAATTTCCCTACATCGAACACTCAATTATTTCCATTTTATTGAATTATGGTTTTATGTAATGGCGTTACCATCCGATCATGAGATTTCTTTTTTTCTTTTTTTTTTCTTCTAATTTTCCGTCTTAAGTCTCAACTCAGTAACTTCAATCAATATATAGATAGTGTGACATTATAATTGGACCAGTGCATGATTTCATTTAGATTTCGACATTACGAACGAAACGATATGTCAGTCCTTCTTTGGACATCCATTGGACGTCCATCAATGGAACCTCCATTGATGGACGATGGAAGTGGAAGTGGAACGGTTGTGCGGAATGAAGACCGCCATCGTTCCGATTATTATCGGCACAACCGGCGTTGTCCTGAAAGACGTCAAGGGACACGTCAAAAAGCTGGAATGTCAACTGTCGCTCGATATCCTCCAGCGCAGAGCAATCTTGGGCACAGCCAACATCCTCCGCCGTGTCCTACAGAACTAAGACTAGTATGAGGACTGGGATGTGGCTCATCCCCTCTCATACCTCCTATACCGGCATTCGCCGTGAAAGTCCACAAAATAATAACAGCTGCATATCGCGCCGAGAATGACCAGCGTTTATTTCTTAGAGCAGTAGAGAGCATTGAGTTCATCGATGTCAGATTGGGCGAAGAAATCCTGATCTGCGGCGTTGCCAGGGTCGGTCCCAGCCCATACCCCATAAGGCTCGATCGTATCCTCTCCGTTACTGCTGAAGGCGTCCAAATGGTAGTGCATGATGGATTCGAAGTCGTAAGGAACGCCGAATTCCTGGGATTCTGTCAGAGTCACGATATCGAAATTTGACTCTGTGCCGGGCATGATGTTGTCCCAGTGGATGATAACGTAATCATCGCGGTCGAAGCGGGTGTGTTCGTGGAAGAAGCCCGCAGCATGCATGGTTTCGTGGAGGATGATCCCCTTATAGTCGCAGCCTGGGATCTGAATGGACAGGTCCTGCGGTCCGAATTTGTACATCCCCACGTACGACCAACATCTGTGGAGTATTATTCCGGTCTCAACACAAGGATATTCTAGATGCATTGGATGTTTATTCATCCAGTTGAATAATTACAGAAAAAAAATCAAATATCAAGAAATATAGTATGTCCCTCTATTGAGGGACATACCTCTTACATAAGTACCATATCTGCAGCCGTATAGACAATTTACTTAATTCAGTAAATGTAAAATGTTACTTTGCAAGTAAATCACCACGGGTAGAGCAGGGGTATAACTAATCCAGATGGCTTCATACAGAGGATGTTTCAGAGCCAGGAAAATTGTTACACCTGCGAAAATCACTGGAAAGGCAATAGGATTATATTGCTCCCTTCCAGGGGATGGCTATATACTTGGATCATCTGATTTTTTTTATGTAACAGGAAGCATCTGCGGCGCACTTCTTATCAAACTTGTGTATTGCTTGTCTTGACGACAGCATTTTGGAAACTTATTCTCGAATGCTGCAGAAACTTCTTTGTAATTCTTTCCATTTCTCCACCACAACTTCAAAATATAAGTTATCTGCTTCTTATTTATGTACCTCTCCATCCTTTACAGTAGACACTTGTTCACCTGTAACAAGAATGAATAAATATTTTTTAAATTTTCCTTCAGAAAACAAACCATATTGGGCTTCAAACAATCAAATTTTGGTAAGCTAACTTTCGGAAAACCCAAGCATTCATTCATGAGACAATCATTTCCATCATGCACAGAAATTTTTTAAATACAGATAATGTATGTGTGGAGGATTTGTATGGAGGGAAAACAGTTTCTTCTAATTCAAGACAATCAGGATATAGTTCACGGACATCAGCTTGCATTGCGCAGTTATTTAACGATATCAAATCATCTATATACCTAAAAATATTCAAGTATGCTTCTGGATTTGGTGTTTCAGTCACTAGCTTTGACTCGTAGTAGAATAAACATAGATTTGCCATATTAGCAGAATAATTTCTGCCCGTTGGAATCCCCTTTTTTTTCTTGAACTATTAATCACCGACTTTTATGTAATTATTATCCAAGCAATTTCTCAAAATGATAGAGAATAAATCCTCACTGATGAAAGTATATTTATAAGTGAAACCTGATTCTGCATAGTCCTCGAATAGCTCAAGAATGCTATGATGTAAAATATCGAAAGGAATTTCGGTGTTCAATGTAGGAAAATCCCATGACATTACGGAAAATAGCCTTCTTGGACTCATTCAAGGCCTTGATTGCTTGCAGCACCCTACTGTTGCTGTTAGTAATCCAGTAACAGTGCAAGTTCTTGCAACTCAACCTGATTTTCTAATCTCCATTAAGTGCAATAAATCTGACAAATGTAATCAAAATTGGAGTCAGTCAACAATCAATCGCCTTTTCATAATGTGGCTGCACTTTCCCAAAGACATTCTTGAATACAAAGCGGCGGAAGAATTTCCCTCGGAAGGGAATGAATGTGTTTGCCACCCATATCGATCACTCGAGTGAATATTCGAATTCCTGAACGAGGAAGAAACCAAGCAAATGTATGCCTGGAATGATCGATTTCAGCCTTTTCGTGATATTCGATTCCGTTTGAATGATGCTCTACCCCTTGGCGAGCATTAGGAAGAAACTCAGGGCGACGATTATTGTTAATATATTTGCTACACTCTTGCTACATTCGGGTTCCCCTCCTGATTTCTTCCCAGGGCCTTTCACATTCCTCCATGCAGGCACTCGCATGCCTCTCACTCTCGTGCCTATGACTCGCTCGTGCCTACTCCAGCCACACATGATCTGCACGCCTGGCCCAAAGATCCCCTTCCATCTTGCGCGTTCACATGGGGTTCATCCCTACTTCTTTTCCATTTCTCTTCATTTTTGGATCATTCTGAAAGTGATGACTTTGTTTTTGTTTGCTTTTTGTCAAACAAAAACAAAGTTTTGGTTTTTCTTTTGTTTAAGAGTTAGTAGGACGGAAACGTGTCTTGAAAAAAACATTATTTCATCTCATGCGCTGGACAAAGCATTCATTTTGGACAAATTTGAAGAGATGAAATAAAGGGGGAATTCATGGGGGAATTTGGGGGTCAATAAAATTCGATTAATTTCGATGAGATTTTAAAATTGAGATTAAACCGTTAAGCGATTATTCGGTCAATTATTCTAATCGGACTGGCTACAATACTTTTTATTTCTCCTCATTTCATCTTTATTGGCCTAAATTTTGATGAACAGAGAGCATCAGGAGCCTCCTCAACGCAGCGATTTCCGAATATCACCAGCACACGTGCATCCGGTTCGTGGAGAGGAACGGAGATCCTAGCATCACAAGTTATGTCAACATCCGAGGAGATCAGTCAGGGTCAGTGTAGTGGAGATGATATATTTCCCCTTCGCAGAGATGAACTTCTTAAACTCGAAATTAGTCGCATGGGTCTTGGGAGATGATAAATGGCGGCAGTTTTCATTGTATTTTGTTGCAATTTATTCCACTTCCCAAGTAACACAGTATGTTGATGAAACGTTTCCGAAATGTTGCCTATGTTGCTCTGTGTTGCAAGTTGCTGTACAACACCGCTTTGTATTCAAGAATGTCTTTGGGAAAGTGCAGCCACATTATGAAAAGGCGATTGATTGTTGACTGACTCCAATTTTGATTACATTTGTCAGATTTATTGCACTTAATGGAGATTAGAAAATCCCGAATCGTTGATCCAATTCAATTCCTCAGCAAAAACTTGGGGATTGGCTATTATTCAATCAATCGACAGATTTATAAACTAAATCATTCACAATCAGTCCCCAGATTAATCTATTTAATAGTCCAAGATTAACCAATTATAAATTTTAATTGATTGACAATCATACAGTATTTTGCAAACGAATTCATACCACCTTTAACATGGGACCCATGCTTATCTATGGAGGAATCCCCCCAACCTGGACGGCGACGCTTTTCTCGCGGCACTTGGGCGACATCCAAAGTATGTAAAGTCAACTACAGTGGAATGGAGAACGTTGAGGCCAAGAATAAAGGAAACTGTTTTTTGTCTTTTTCGAAGAAAATGATGGGTTGGAATAACAAAAGGGTTTACATTAGGGTCCAGGAAGACGTGGAATGAAAAAATCGCGCCAGGGAAATTCCCAGAGAAACAATCAAGTATTCGTAGAAGGGAGGAAGGTAGCTGAATACAAGGAAGTATATATTTGGAATAATGTCTCAGGCTTTGGATCACGTATTTCATTGTACCTACAGATTGTTAGGCATTCGTCTAAATATGAAAAAAAAATCAAATCATAGATGTCGACGGCCATAGCTATCTTCAAATACACAGCCCAACATAGACCAGAATTGCGTCAAGTATTTGACATCCAGGGCTCGAAACATCAGAGCGCACGACTCCCCAACCTGGAGCTTGGCAACAATCCTGTGTCTCAACGACTCCTCTACCCTTTCATACGGGCCGCGCGAAGTCAATTGCTGCACGGCATCTCCCAAGAGACTGATTGATGCGATGTGGCGCTATGACACGGGAGGGAGACATCTATCCTTCAGAACGGAAACCATAGTTGGACCTCCTCAGCCGCCGCATTGGATGCTCCATTTAGTTACCATGCGCAATGTTGAAGGTGGTACCAATTCATTCGCAAAACACTGTATAAGAAAACCTTCAATTCCGCGATTAACTCACCGGCACTGGAGTGGACCTCGTAGTAGATGATGGCATCTGTCCAGAGTCCGTAGTCGTCATCCGGCAAGATAGCCGTCTTCCCCTGTCGCATTCCGATGCATGATTAGCGATGGAAGCGCCTCAATCGGGTGGTTTTGAGTGGACTCACGTCGACGGTGGTCCTTATGTACCCTCCAGCAATGTCGCCCCCGAGCATGCCTTCGTTGTACATGAATCGGTCTGGGTCCGGTCTGCGTGGCAGTGCTCCACAGCTCACCGCCAGAACCAGGACGGACAAACTCACGAATGGCAGCATCTTCATTCCTCTTCCGAATCTCAGTGGGGTTCGATGTCCTCGTCGGGTCTCTTTTATATCGTTCATCGCAAGTGGGAAGGTTCTCACGGATATTGCGCACAACGCAAAGTCGTTTGCTTCTGCTACCGTGGGAGGTGAACTTGAGTCCCATCAGAGGCGAATCTTTCTCCATCGTGTGCGATGTGAAGTATTTTCTTTTCTTCATGATTCCTTTTTTACTCCACTCGTCCAAAACCCTTCTCGATCCTCGCCTCGCTAATCCTACGCCTCGACGGAGAAACTAATTTCACGCTGTCGGGAAATACACCGAAATTTTCCTCGATGAAAGACGATCTTCAATCACATCACATCGGTTAACCGTTGCTCTCTGCTCCCTCGTAGATTCCGAGCAAATCAGTGAGAAAAATTCAGTCGCGTCCTAAAATCCGTGCCGAGATCCCAGTCTGGGCGCGTTTTCCCTCGGAAGAACTCCGAATTAGCGAATCCTTCGTGAAGTTCGACACGACGTCCGCCAATTTCCAACCCCGATGCAAAAAAAAAATGCTAAAAAAAAATTCCCCGAAAAGAAAAACACAACAACGACACATTACACTGAGATTTAAGCGGCACTGTCTGCCCAAGCAGCTCAACTTTATTTTCCAGTCATTTAAGCCGATTTACCTTCGTCAAACAATGTCATTTTCGAGTAAAGAATGACAGATTGCTCGCACGATGCATTGCAGACGTCCCCCAAAGATCGTTGGTTGAGGTCCGACACATGGTTAATGTTAAGTTTCATTAATATTTATTAATATTTTATTCTCGAATGATTTTTCTAGATGTTAACGACAATGTCGTCAATATCGACCGTGTTGTCAATGTCGACAGCGTTCAATCGTTGTCGGAACGTCATCGGATTCACACGCAGACTTTAAAAACTATTTCTTCAAAAACAAGACTTTTTATCCGAAACTGACTCCCCTCTGTCGCTCTTCCGGGATCGGGTGCTGACATCGATGAAGGGAAAAAAAAAATTCCCTTTGATCATTCTTCGACCACCCGTTTTTTTTTTTTTTTTTTTTTTTTT